GTAAGTTGCTGAGACTGGGATTATAAATGTGCCCACTATGCCGGGCAAAGGCAGTGGTGGTACCTGTCCTCTGGCCACCCACTTTGCCTACCTGGGTGATGTAGCATGCACAGCAGGCATAGCGGGCAGGAGGACGGCTGGCCCAGTGGAGTCGTCATGTGTAGCCACCACCAGCCAGGGGCTTTTTTTTTTCTTTCTTTTTTGGTACCAGGGATTGAACTCAGGGTCCCTCGACCACTAAGCCCCAGCCCCAGCCCCAGCCCCAGCCCCAGCCCTATTTTGTCTTTTATTAGAGATAGGGTCTCACTGAGTTCCTTAGAGCCTCGCAAAATTGCTGAAGCTGGCTTTGAACTCAGGATCCTCCTGCCTCCATGCGCCTCCGCGCCCGGCCTCAGGGCTTCTTGTCCTCACCACGGTGGTGACTGTCTCAGACTTGCTCAGAAGGCTGGCACTACCCTGATGGGGCCCCTTGCTGCCAGCTTCGTTTCCAGCACTGTTGCTGGTCTGTACTTTGGGGCAGCTCAGGCAGCTGGGTGGTTGCTTGATGGTCCAGCCTGGGCCAGCTGGTTGACTACCAGAGGCTTGACCTGCTGAGGGAATAAGGAGAGTGCTCGGGCAGTGGGACCAGGTGACAAAACCAGGAGATTCCTTTTGCCTCAGCATGGGGTTCGGTGCTGGAGTTTCTAGGTCTTTTCTAAAGTAGGGGATTTCTGCTTTCTTGGCCTCCTGTTGTTTTGGGGTGGTAGGTGGGGGGGCGCACCTTCTTCCCTTCTTTTTTCTCTCCAGCATCTTGAATAGCTGGAGGAGAGCGAGGAGAGGGAATTGTGGGCAGTGTATATGTTGTCTCCTGGGACTCTTTTGGTGTGAGGTAGTGAGATGCCTTGTTGGACTCAGATGACAGTGGGAGCATCCCTCAGAGTGGCCTCTTCTGTGCTGCTCAGGAACAGTTCTTTCAGTGGTGGTCACGATTCCGTATTCTTTCCAATGACTCAGTTCTGACTTTGCTTTTCTAGGAGGACGGTACATTGGACTCCAGAGGGAGGTGACAATGCACCATGGCAGTGGTCCTCAGAACGTCCAACATCAGCTGCAGAGGTCCAGGTCCTTCACCGCCAGTGAGGAGGAGCAGTCGGCCCATCCAAATCTGCCACCGTCCCCTGCAGCACCCTTTGCTCCGTCGGCCAGCCCGTCTGCCCCCCAGTCCCCCGGCTACCAGATACAGCAGCTGATGAGCAGGAGTCCTGCAGCTGGGCAGAATGTGAACATTGCCCTACAAAGCGTGGGCCCTGTTGTGGGAGGAAACCAGCAGATCACCCTAGCCCCTCTGCCGCTGCCCAGTCCCACCTCTCCAGGTTTCCAGTTCAGTGCACAGCAGAGGCGATTTGAGCATGGCTCTCCTTCGTACATTCAGGTTGCGTCCCCCCTGTCCCAGCAGGTGCAGACACAGAGCCCTACGCAGCCCAGCACCGGRCCTGGGCAGGCCCTGCAGAATGTGCGTGCAGGGGCCCCTGGGCCTGGGCTGGGTATGTGCAGCAGTAGCCCTACCGGAGGCTTTGTGGACGCCAGCGTGCTTGTGAGGCAGATCAGCTTGAGCCCGTCCAGTGGCGGGCACTTTGTGTTTCAGGAGGCTCCAGGCCTCACTCAGATGGCCCCGGGGGCCCAGGTTCAGCTCCAGCATGCTGGAGCGCCCATTGCAGCACGAGAGCGGAGACTGTCCCAGCCTCACGCACAGTCAGGAGGCACCATCCACCACCTGGGACCCCAGAGCCCTGCAGCTGCTGGAGGAGCCAGCCTGCAGCCCCTGGCCAGCCCAGGCCACATCACCACAGCCAGCCTACCTCCCCAGATCAGCAGTATCATCCAGGGCCAGCTGATTCAGCAGCAGCAGGTGCTGCAGGGGCAGCCACTGAGCCGGCCTCTGGGATTTGAGAGGACTCCCGGCCTGCTGCTGCCTGGGGTCGGGGGGGCTCCTGCGTTTGGGATGACATCTCCACCACCTCCCACCAGCCCTTCCCGAACTGCCATGCCCCCCGGCCTTTCCAGCCTGCCGCTCTCRTCTGTAGGGAGCTCAGGGGTGAAGAAGGCTCCCAAGAAACTGGAAGAGATCCCCCCGGCCTCTCCGGAGATGGCGCAGATGAGGAAGCGGTGCCTGGACTACCACTACAGGGAGATGGAGGCCCTGCGGGAGGCCTTCCGAGAGTGCCTGGTCGAACTGTTTTTCTTACAACATCTCCAGGGGAACATGATGGATTTCCTTGCTTTTAAGAAGAAGCATTATGCCCCGTTACAGGCATATCTTAGGCAGAATGATTTGGACATTGAGGAAGAGGAGGAGGAGGAGGAGGAGGAGGAGGAGGAAGAAGGAAAGTCTGAGGTCATCAATGATGAGGTAAGCAATACTGGTTCAGTCTTCTAGGGGACGTGCATGAAGCAAGGTAGAGTGTAGCAACCGTGAGTTGAAGGGTGACCTTTGAACCTGGGACCTTGGGGAGAGTTTGTTTCTTGAGGGTATGAAGGAGGAGTGGTGTGGGACTCCCTTCCTGGAGAGAAGCTGCACGGTACCCTACTTCCTCACGGAGAGCAGGCCCGTCCCAGGTGCAGAGCCGAGCCAGGCCATCACCCCTCCCACCCAGTGTGTGGTCCTGGGCTGGCGCCCTGCTTCTGTGGTGGAAGGTTTCTGCCGCAGCTGGACCCTGAGCACCTGCAGCCTTGTGCTTACATGGTGCTCACAGGAACCCTGCCAGCAAGGCTTTTAAACAAGCGGTTTAAATCACCAGCTATAATTAGAAATTGCTGGATATGTTTTTATGAGATCTCCATGATTAAAATATAGTTATTGTGGCAAAAAACTACTAAGAATTTTTTTTTCAGCTTTCATACATAGTCTTATTTTTGAGATCACGTTTTAAATGCACTTTTGCAAACACCTATTGAGTAATATTTAAGGTAGAATCTTTAGTGGACAATATACTTTTTGGGCATCCAGAATGGGTGCATAGTAGACCCCAAGCCACCGAAGTTCCCGAAGTTGCTGGTGTGTCCTGAGCACCAGGTGGTAATGGTACTATAGCACTGTACTTTGTGCCTTCGTGTTGTGCAGTATATGCTGTGTTGCGGGGCTTGTTTTATGATACTGTTTAAATAACTTAGGACTTTGCCAGCCCTTCTGCAAAGAAACCAGCTTGTGGTAAGCCAAAGCTCGTTTCTTTGCCCATGTCCTCTGGCTCTGTGGATGTATCTGTGTGGCTCTGCCATCTGTGTCTTCTCTGGCGTCCTTCCTGGGATGGACCGTTCTTGTTTTTCAGAAGGTCTACATTATTCTGAGGGCTTCACCTCTGTTGCCTTGAGGCAGTGAAGTCCAGTTCTCTGTTTGTATGCCAGTGTTGTCTGTAAGCCGGTCCCCTTCACTGTACGTGAGAGGTCAGCCCTCCACAGCCTGCTGCCGCCGAGGACCTTTGCCACGGGACCACTGGTCAGCAGCAGCGCTGTGGTGCAGACGGCCAGAGAAGCCGCAGGACTTCCTCCCTGAGTCTGTTGCCACTCCCACTCCAGTCTGGGGTTGTAGAATCCAGGGTGCGCCCATGATCTGGACTGGAGCTGCTGAGTGCGCATCAGGGTCACTGGGCGTCACGTAGCACGTCTCTCAGTTCAGTGTCCTTGACAGGATTTGATGCAAAAGCATTTTAATCACCTGAATCAGTGAGCTGTCAGCAATGAAATTCTAACAAAATTCTGAGCAGTCTTAAAAATTATGTTGCCTTTTTTTCTCAAAATATTTCTCTCAGGTAAAGGTTGTGACAGGCAAGGATGGGCAGACTGGGACTCCTGTTGCTATAGCAACCCAGCTTCCGCCAAATGTGTCTGCTGCTTTTTCATCCCAGCAGCAGCCGCCTCAGGTACTTTTCGATGGTTCTAAATTGTAGTCTCATCCCAAACGTCTCCTTCATCCAGATATTTTAACTTCAATTTACTATTTGCTCTTTGGCATTTTTTTTTCCAGAGCCCATTCCTTATTTTTTAAAAGTCAAAACGCCTTCCCACATACACAGCTGTAGATCAAGTTGCATGAGCCTATGCCAGCCCAGGCCTCGCTGCGCTGCTCCCATGCACTGCAGCGTGGTGGTGGCCCTTAGTCTGCATGTCCACTTTCAGTCCTGTGTGTGTGCCCAGGACCCCTGTGTGCTGTGTTTTCAATGTTCGTCCTTTCTTGTGTCTTTTACCTGTATTTTGAGAATGTTGCAAAACAGAAAAAGAAAACATCTTAAGCAAATGATAATGCTGGTGTTCCCCTTAGCTAGAGGGATGTTGAGGTGAAGTCACCGAGATTGTGGAGACTGCGAGCTTCTGGGTGGAATCAAGTCCGTGCCAGGAGTTCAACATGCCAGGTTCTAGTGCTTTTGGAATCATTTGTGGGTCCTGAAGCAGTTCCGTTCTTGGTGATGCTTTTTGTTATTTGTTGTTCTTGCTTTTGAAAGAATCTCAGGTACACGTGAAAGTTGCACTAAACGTACAGAAAACTCCTGATTCTCCCTCAGCTAGCCGGCGGGCGGCTTCCTGCTGCCTCTGCTTAGTGTTTGTTCTCTCACGGGTGTGCGGTGTTGGTTCACAGCCTTTACCCAGATGCTCCAGCACCTGGAAGGTAAGGATGTCACCTGGCCCACACCACGCATGGTCAGCTAGGAGACGTCACGGATCCATAGCTCACACCCAGTCCCGCCTCCTGTCCTAAGATGCCTTTCCAGCTCCCTCTGACCCTGACCCAGACCTCCCTAGGTGTTCCTCTGCAGTGTCCTGGTCTTTGTGGTCTGGGCTGGTCTGTCTTTTGTGGCCCTGCTATTTCTGAGGAGTACCAGCCTGTTTGATGCAGTGTGATGGGTCCAGGGTTGTGCAGTGTTTCCTTGGGTCATATCCAATTGTGTGTTTGATTTTTTTGGGAGTGCTGGGGTGGACCCCAGGCCTCCCACATGCCACGCAAGCTCTAGCCAGGTGTGTTTGAGAGGAGCCCGTCCCATGATGGCTGGGGTTGACTGAGTGCTTGCTTGAGGTGGCATGGCCAGGCCTGTCCCATGGAAGCTCTGTTTTTCTCTGTGTAAAGAGTGAGGAGCAGGAAAGATGCCCTGAGAATGCGYAAGTGCCGAGACTCCACTCCCTCCTTGTCGCTGCTGTGTCTGCCTCAGTCACTGCCGTGACGGTCCCAGTGGGCTGTGTCCCTCCCTGTCACTGCTGTGTCTGCCTTCGTCACTGCCTTGATGATCCCAGTGGGCGCTCTGTGTGCAGCGGTTGAAGGACCCTGTAACCAGGAGCTCCTCTTTCTACCATTTTTATGTCCTTTTACACGTGRGTGCTTATTTTCATCAGTCCCATGGGTATTTGTTTCCATCTATCTAAATTCACTCTACTTATATTCAGTGAAACTCACTTTTTTGGCCTTATTCTGTGAGTCTTGACAAATCCATGGAGTGGGCTATTCTGCACCACAGTCAAGGACCAGGTAGTTCCCAGGACTTCCATGGCCAGGCCCCTCCCCACCCCGGCCCTGTCCTCTACCTCCGTGGTGGTGCCTGTGGGGTCCCAGCTGTGCCCTTGTGGCTGAGTGGCACTCCTTGAATGGACGTGCCTGTTTTGCTTACCTGTCACCTCAGGAGGGTGCTTCCATTTTAGGGATGTACATGTGTATTTATTCTTTGTTAGGTCAAGGTATGTCCAGGTTGCCTGAGTGGCCTCGCCTGCATCCTCCTGCTTCAGCCTCCCGGGTCCCTGGGACTGCAGGTGTCAGGAGTTTGTGAGCAAAGCTGTGGCGTGCGCACAGTGTTAATGTGAGCGTGGACTTCTCTTTACCTGAGGGAACATTGCAGTCAGGCTGTGTGTTAAGTGTACATCTAGCCTCACGGGGAACTGCCAGCCTTTCCAGAGGGCCTGTGCTATCTTGTGTTCCCAGCATAGGGTGCAGGGTCACCATCCAATTCCTCCAGGGTGCTTGGACTTTTCAGAGTGTTGATCACACTGACAGGTCTGCAGTGACTTTCCAGTACATCTAGGGTTGTTGGTTTAGGCATCTTTTCCTGTGTCTCTTGCTGGTCATGGGTTTTCTTTGGTGAAGTGTCTATTCACAGCTTACAGATGTTTTCATTGAACTGTTTTATTGTTGTGTTTGAAAGTTCTTTACATAATATAAATGTTAAATTTTTTGTTAGACATAGATTTGCAAATTTTTTTCAGTCCTGTGGTTTACCTTTTTCTCAACAGTATCTTTTGCAGAACAAATATCTTAAATTCTGATGTAGTACATGCAGGGCACAAGGGCCACGCCTGTAATCTCAGCAGCTCAGGAGGCTGAGGCAGGAGGATCACAAGTTCAAGGCCAGCCTTAGCAACTTAGTGAGGCCCTAAGCAAGTTAGCAAGACCCAGTCTCTAAATAATTAAGTGAATGAAAATAAATAAGTCAACATAAATGAATGGCTGGGGATGTGGTGTCCCTGGGTTCAATCCCTGGTAACAACAACAACAACAACAACAACAACAACAAAAAAAACAGAAAATTCCAATGAGATGCAAGTAATTATTTAAAAAAAAAAAACTGCTTATGCTTCTGATATTATATCTAAGAACTCTATGCTCAGTTTAAGATCACAAGGATTTTCTCTTCTTTTTGGGGAGAGGGTTATGTTTTTAGTAATTTAGGCCTCTGATCAATTTCATCCTTTTTCTTTCTTTCTTTTCTTTTTTTGGGATTGAACCCAGGGATGCTTAACCACTGAGCCACATCCTTAGTTAGCCTATTTTTTTTACTATTTATTTTAGTTTTTAGGTGGACACAATATCTTTATTTTTATGTGGTGCTGAGAATCGAACCCAGTGCCTCATGCATGCCAGGTGAGCTCTACCACTGAGCCACCACCTCAGCCCCATCCTTAGCCCTTTTTATTTTTTATTTTGAGACAGGGCCTCACAAAATTGAGGCTGGCCTTGAACTTGCAGTTCTTCTGCCTCAGCCTCCTGAGCTGCTGGGTTCACAGGTGTGACCCCTCCCCCAGTTCTATGGTCTCTGTAGCATGACAGACGTGGACAGAGATTCACAGTGTTGTGCCCACACCGCAYCTTGAGAAGATGACCCTTGTTGGTCCTGGTGGCTTTCGTGACTGCCCAGAGCCCACGTGGTCCCGTGTGCTGGCCATGGTTTGCTGGCAGTGGCAGCCATCCTGGTTTCCGTGGCTTCCTGTGGGCCAGGTGGCATGTGTTTTCCAGCTTTTCAGAATGGTGTTGGTAGTTCTTGTTGCTTTGCCTCTCCATGTGACCTTCTGGATTGGCCTACTGGCTTTGGGACATTCTGCTGTGTGTTGGTGTGGTGGCTCTGGCCTGCTAGGGAGAAGTGCCTGCAGTGCTGAGTC